TTTCTTCATATAATTACTCTCGGTGACTTCTTGCACCAGCAACTTTATTCCCCCCCGTCCTCGCCCACTCCTTTACTATCATTTCGTTTTATGCTCTTCCCTCTGTTTTTTTTCAAGAAATTAAAAAAAAAAATAATATGCAAGATTGATGTTTCTACCATAAAAATGACTTTTTATATACGAGAAAACCTTCTTGACTCTCTCATTCAAATATTGCTTCCTCAATTAGTGTCATCCATTCATCAAATCACTCATCCATATTTATTAGTCCGCCACTGAGAAAGTTTGCTAAGCTAATCGACGTTTTTACCTTTATATGTGATTCTTGCCAAAAATTTATGCATCAAATTCAACAGTACCGCCTATACATATTTATATCTTTTAAAATTCAAAAGCAAGAAAAAAAAAGACAAAAAAATTATTTTTTAATAACCGCAAAAATTAGAAATCAAAAAGACAAAAAAAAAAAAAAGAAAAAAAAGATGGCAATAAAAAACACTAAATAACATCTTAAAAGGAAAAAATTGGTTAAGAAATTAGAAATAAAATTGAAAATCATTAAAAAATAAAAAAAAATAAAAAATAAAAAATAAAAAATTACAACCCAATAAAGAAAAAGAATATAAAGCATCGAAACACACACACCAACAAAGATTCACACACTTTCACATATGCGCAAACCGATATGCGAGCGGTCACACACATACAAACCGTCCACCATCAAAACATCTGGCCATCTATCTATCTGTCTATCTATCTATCTACCTATCCATCCATCTGTCTTTATTTATGTATTTGTTTATATTTGTATTTATATATTAGAATAAAGGTTGAAGTAACAAATTGTCGTATCAGTTCCGGCAAAAAATTCTTCGTTTTAAAGCTGTCAGAACAAAGCGTTTGTCAGTAAAAGTTCATAAGTGCACAGAAAAAAGTGGACAGATTACTATACATTACTATACCGTTACTATACATTAACAGTGATGAAGTTATTATTCGAACAAGTCAAAGCTGCTAATTTCTATTTTCACTTTCTTGTTACTACTTTTGAAAGATGCCTATAAAGTATAGTACAGGCAAATAATGGACAACCAAAGTTGTGTACCAGCGATGATATTTTCCTTCTTCCAAAATTCATGAGGTAAAAAAAGGTGCCAATGAAAGCAATAAAGCAAAAGTTTAAAAAAAACTGTAATTTATTTGCTTTTCGATGTACGAGTCTGCAATTTACCTATGCATATGAACTACCGTTTTTTTTCCCTTTTTTTTGGCACAAACAATAATAACAACAAATATTATGTTAATCTTGAGAATAAGAATAATACAAGAAATAATAATAATAATAATAAAAATGAAGACAATTACATAAATGTTAATTATAATAATAATAATTATAATAATTTTAATAATATTAATCATATAATAATACTGGTAATAATGATAATAACAATAGCTGTAAAATATTGATGTTTGTAACTGTATGTAAACATCTGAAAATTGTTAACGATTTTGATGCATTAACTGAACAATGAAATCGTTTTTTGTTCAATATATCAAATCAGTTTGTTCAGCACATAAATTTGGAAACATAAATGCGAAGATAAAAAAAAAAAAAAATGTTTTATTATTTTTCTGTCTTTAAGAAACTATTAATTAAATTTTTTACAAAATTAGAAAAAAAAATAGAACAAAACGAATAGAATAAAAAAACAACACAAGAAGAAAGCAAAAAGAAAAAAGAACGAAAAGAGATGGAAAAAATAAAGATTGAGAAGAAAGCAGAGGATAGAAATTTAGAAGAATGATTTGTGCCCAAATAATAGAAAAACAATAAAAGCAAAAAAAAAAAAAAAAAAAAAAAA